GAGCAGATCTAGTAGGGGCACCTAGGTTGCCTCAGACTTGTCCTTTCTGATTGTACGGGTGACTCGAGAGAAAAGGTGCTCGCTTGGAAGAAGAGAGGAGGTGGTTGAGGAAGGCCGAGGACACACAAAGTGAGTACACTGGAAAAACTCGTGTGGAGAATTAAGTCGAGAAGGAGAGAGGAAGGAGAACTCCCGGAAAGGCGGGTACCGCAATATGCTCACCTGTCGCCAAAGCTATTGTGGCTGACGCTGTTCAAGGCGGGGGAGGAGCAACCGACGATGCGGCTTGGTGAGAACGCGACCAGGGGTTTCAGTAAGGTAGGCAACGGCGGAATGTCGCGGAACCGCTTGTAAGTGTGCTGGCATTATGAAGGCTGCGAACGATTAAGCATTCGTTGTCTGACAGGAGACAAAGCAAGGGCATGATTGGACGTAGACAAGAAGGTTAATAGAAGTGCCAGCTCCTCATCTAAAGACAAGACCGAAGCCCACGACCTGTAACATGGAATTTTGGGGCTTTTCCTCCAGGTCCGGTGTCTCGATATCCTTTGATGGACAAGGAAATGCTCATTCGACTACCCATTGCTTGATCACCGTCAAGTTCACGCATGAAGAGAACTCATGCGCACTATGTGCTCATCAACGCGAGTCCCTGACGGCCAAGCTTAAGCAATCATCAAGGATGACCATGTTTGTCGTTGATGTTGCCTTGAATAGGGGACAGGAGCCAAGAGAGCGGTCTGTCCCAGGACCAATGACTTCCTTCGAGAAATGTCGAGCATGTCTCATGAGCTGCGAAAGCTTTCACGAAGTGCCACCTTTGTGAATAGCCTTGGCTTCATAGATCTAGTCACTTTACCTCAACAAGCAATGTGCAGGGGGGCGCAGGAGAGAGTATGTCTTCGAGCTCAATTCTCAAGCCTGACATAGACCGCGATCATAACGACGCCGTTTGTGGCCGCGGCTCCAAGATCTTCTCGATTCCACGGCCGCAACTGCAGCATTGCTTTTTTCTTTTTTGCTTCCGAGCACCACGTCATCCTTGATGTGCAAACCGACAGGATCTCATCTCCCGCCGGGCGTCAAAAGGCCACACAAGGGCCAGCATGAATGCTCGAGAGTCTTTGTGTTCCCTTTGCTTTAAAAGTCGGTCTTGGCTGAGCCAAGGGGTAAGCAAATCGAGCTCTGCAAGTCTGCAACTTGCCATACTCATGTCGTACACCTCGGACGAGACATGTCTCCCGGCTCCGTGATAGGGTCAGTTGAGCCCGGGTTGGCGGGAGTACGCATGAGACATGCGGATAAGCTTGCAAGCACCGAGATTTGGACTGTAGAAGCCGACCAGGGTCCCAGCCGCCGCCAGCTTCCTTCTCCTCCACGTCGCTCGACGTAGGTCGCTGTCGCTCATTACCATGGTCATATCGATCCTGTAGTTTCCTCCAAGGCAGCTGACTTTGCAAGTCATTGGTTGGCAGATAAAGGTCATAATCCTTACGAACAGTTATGTGTACGCTCCTCAGTAGACACCTAAACGATCTTGCCGCTCGATCTCGCCCCCATTCGCAGACTGCTTGGCAGAGACGTGCATATCGGCTGCTCGAGTAATGAGTGTAATGTGATTTGCCCACGGCTTCTCTCTGCTCAAACAAATATCTTTTGATTTCGTGGAGTCCAAAGACCATCCCCAATCCTGATGTACAAGTATGTGGCTAAGCAGACCAGATGCAAATTTCCCGCATGGCAGGGACATTTGACTGTCAGGCTTCGTTGCTATCCTTCCTTGGGTTGGCTGCCACGACCTTGGATTTCTCTGGCTGCTGACTGAGAAGTCCTCATGGTCCATCGAAGCCATCTTCAGGTGCGTTCCTCGGGATGAAGCAATGATGGTGGAGTGCTGTTACGTTGTGAAAGTATGCTTTTGGGCAATTTGCGAGTTGGGGGTGAAAATTTGGGCGAAAGTCCCGAAAGGATACAAATTTCACTGCCGTTGAGACTAACATCAGTCCGAGAGCACTGGACCTTGCGTGAGCGTGCCCACGGTGTTGACATAGGGGACCCAAGCGAGGCAATCGCCACTGCAACTTCAGTGGGGGGCGCTACTCTTTCACGTGCCCAGTGGCTTGCCAACTTCATCTTTACCTTCTCGTCCAGACAGACTGCCATGCCCATCAGATCCGGAACATCCTATCCCTTACTCCATCATCGAGAGCACACACAGGCATCTACAAAGGAAAAATAAAGGAAAGCCCCACCACAACCTTTTGGGTATCTGTACACGATCATCCATGCAGTAATTTGGACCTCCATAAACTCCCTTCAGTCTGTTCTTGCCTAGGCAGGTATAATGATGCCTGAAGCTTCTGCGATCTCAAGGAAATGTATTCGGTATCACTCTGTATCGGAACTGAGCGTCTTCCAAGCGAGTTTTTCGTCGTGGCCCTGCTAATTAAACCTACCGTCGCGGGGTCCAAAGGAAGCTCTGAGCGATCTTCAGCTCCATCGTCTATGAACCACGCCGACTGCCCCCAACTCTGTTCTCTCAAGGTCGTGCGTCATCAGCACGGCTCTGGTGGATAAGGCTGGGCAAAAACAAAATCGGTTACGTTTCTGTTATGGGCAGCGAGCCCGTCGATGGATATGCCTACCTGGGTATGACCCGCTCCCATCTGGTCCGACTAGCCAAGCTGGTTGTCTGCCGCTCATAGGACAGCTTGACAACGCGGAAGGCAGCCTGCAGTGTTCTCGAAACCAGGACGAGCAAACAACTTCGTCCGTTTCGATCGTTACCGCATGTGACCCGAGACTGTTTAGCATGAAATCTCCACGCGATTGAACGTCCTTCCTGTGATGTTGCTCGCATTGCAGGCGATAGTCTGGAAAGTCGACAGTCGCCTCTAAGGTTGAACTCCAGTCGCCATACAGAGGCGTGACCCAAGTGTCCCGCAATGAGTACACTTACTCCATACACATGGCAAAAGGTCTTTGCCTGGCCCATGGCTAGGACAAGGCCGAGCTTCTTCATGCCTTTCCTTCGAAGTCGATAGGTGTGCTGACAGAAGGTTCTCCAACCATCTGTGCGAGGATAGTCGGTGTCAACCCGAAGCGTGACATATGCAGGCGAGGAACGGAGCCGGATCTCTAGTGGCGCCTGCTCAACTCAGCAAGGAAGGGACAGGTGTATGTTGACGCCTGTTTTACTATCCGTCATGGGTCTGTGGTGGTGCCACTCGATTGATGTGGTGCATTTAGAAGGCTAGTGCCATATGAATGTATCCCCTGGAGTAGAAATTCGCACGATTCTATACTGAGTGTTCTGGACGATATATGATTACTTACTCTCTGGGTGCCTGAGCGCTGTCTTTCATACTTCACATATAGAAGCACGGCAGGACCGCCTGAGACCCTCGCCACGGCTGATACTGGTTTCAAGGTTGCGAGTCGCTTCATGCACTCTTCCTGGGGCCAATCAACGACGCCTTGGTCTCGCGCAGCTCAGTTCGGGTCATATAACAAGAGACAGCAGGTTAGATTGACGGACATGGCTGGCCGTCTCGGCCAGGGGACCAGGGTCATGGTGGTAACGCAACAAGGTGCTTAAGCTGGATCAGGCAGGGTGCTCCAGCTACAAAGGTATTCGGTCTTACGCAAAGACCATCCACTGGCTGCGGCATACCATGGCATGTTCGACGTCGCACTTATGTTCACTCGGCCCCCGCCCCCCCGCAAGCCCAATAGCGTGTGGGAGAGGCAACGAAAATACACTTTGGCGTGAGACTACGAAGACGTCGGTAGGCTATTGGTCAAGTTGATCGAATCTCAACTGGAAGAAGGTCACTACCCCTTGGCTCATTGCATGTTCCTGAGGCCAACGAGCGGTAGGGCACCGTTCAACTAGTTTGCACACGGAGGTCAGTAGGGCACACATGCCACTGAGAAAGCTCTTTACTTCCATATTGTGCCGCGAACACATCGCATACGAACTTCGACCCCCTCTCCATGATGATTAGCTTCCTGTCGATTTCACTGTCAAGGCAGTAATTGAATGGGCATGGAATCCCAGCACTGACTACGTAGCGATGAGTCAATAAAGAGGCTAGCATCGCCTTGGGCATCACCGGCGCTCCTTCCATACCTACCTGCCCAGGTATCTACCTTGTCCGTACTTTCCTCACTGCCCCTCTTCCGCCCTTTACGATATCCAAACCCTCCGCTGCTCCTGCCTCAGCAGTCCATACTGGGCATTGTCACAGGCTCTGATACACTGGTGGCGTTCTACTTCGGCGAAACATCCCCTCATCCCCTCTCTTCCTGCTTTCTTCCTCGACAGTCATCTTGAACGCATGTTATGACACACCTCTCCATCTCCTACTCGCAGTTCTTATTCCGACCTGCCTTACGCATCTTCATCCTCTTCATCTGCCGGTGCCGTCCGACCCAAGCTGTAGTTTGAGCAACGACTAGCACTCTCGGTCTTCTGCATCGACTTCTCAACTGACTCCCGTCCCCTGCAAGGTGCCTTCGCTCGTTGCTGGGGAGGGGGAATGTATGTCACCAGCGAGCTTGTGTTCCACCCCAACGCGCCCCAGTTGGTCCTGTCAACAGCATTTCAATCTCTTCTTTTCAATGCTGACGGCGGTACCCAATTTTTTTCGACAACCGCCCATACCTGAGCATTTTATAATCAAGGCAGGCACCAGTTCCAGCCTCGTTACTGCTGTACTTGCCGTCTACACAACCGTGTGTATAAGGGTCATTCAATCGGCAAACTCTTACTTTCTGGACCATTGCAACGCCTCTACAGACAGATACAACCGCTTTCGAACACACATTAATATCAGCAGCTCTACGAAACCCAACATTGGACGCCAAGTGTCTGTGACCCTCCTAGAATTAATTCAATCGTCTGCCCATCAACAACATCAAGCTTCACTTACCATCTCTACCTGCCTTCCGAAGCTTCCAGAGCTCTTTTCGCAGTAGTTTCCACCTCGATCGGCACCATGTGGGAAGTGGTATGGACAGATCCTGACAAGGAGTCACGGAGGGAACACCGTGAGAGAAAAGCGATACAGAAAGAACAAAAGGATAAGGACCGAGCCACTACAGGATCCGTCTCTACCCGCAGCGTCTCCCCCTCGGAGAGTAGGACCTTCGGCTTCTTTGGATCTAAGAGCTCGAAGAGAAGCACCACGCCGAAGCCTGAGTCCTCCTCGCCGACACTGGCGAGCTCCACTGACGACAGCAAAGTACGACGCGTCTCTTGTCTGTCTTCGACTCCTTCTACTGCCGCATCACCCCCCACTTCGGATCTTCTGGCAGCTCCCGTAGCTTTGTCTTCCTCGGCAGATCCATTAACGTCTCAACTTACGGAGTCACTCCACGACTCCCCGGGGTCATCAACCAGAGGTATGTTTTCTTAAAACACAGATAATTTTCATGCAGCTTATATGCTCAGGTCTTCTTGACTCTGTGTTTTCGAGATGGACCGATACGTCACTTCCGCCAGCCTCACCAAGCACTACATCTATCGCTGATTCAACCACCAAGACGACGCACTATATTCAAACAATTGGCCCTTCATCCTTCATCACAAAAGACACCAAAGTCACCGTCAGCCCACGAACTTGTGGAGATGATATTGCCGGTGTCGTGTCAGTAGTCAGGATCTCCGCAGATCCCGTCAGAGAAGCTCCTCCGACACCTCCTCGGTCACCAGCTACACTGTGAGTGCTCTCCGAGAAACCTACTCATCTTGTGATACGTATGAACCCGGCTAAGCTTGCTGGATACCAGTATCTCGATGAACGCAGACACACCAATCAGTCTGTTTCCCGGACAGTTCTCTCCACCCTCGAAAATATCTATTGCGCGCGCTCCGTCCTGGACATCCAAGTTCAAACCCAACAATCCTGATGCATGGAAACCTCCCGACGCCTGGGATTGCGTGCCTTCACCAGAGACTCGGGCCTCTACGTTCGAGGATATCATGGAGGATCCCACAGAAGCCGAGGAAGAAATGTCGCTGTCGCTTAACTTGAGCGGCGTCCAGCGAGAGGTCAAAAGCATGGCCGTCGCAAGTCCAGAAACCCGACTCGTGCGTTTGACAGAATCTTGGGGTTGGTCAGACGAAGCCAACTTATACAAAGAGCTTGAGATGGAGAAGAAACGATGGATGCTCTCGTCTCTTGACAATCTTGACAAGCCCGTTGACATTGACCCTGCGAGGCACGTTCCATGGAAGATTGCGACTGCGAAGGCTAAGAAGGTGCTAGCCCTATACGAGTCTCAAGGTTGACAAAATCCTCATCTGAATCATTGGATATGAGCTGACGGAGACTAGCAACGACATCATACCTGGCTGCTCTTCACTACACTAAGAACATCTACCATATGTCGCCCACACCGCTGTCGCATAGGCTGTTCCCAAATATTCACCCGGTTGCGGTTCCAGCCATCTCGCCATCGACATTCCCTGTAGGCCCTGGCCTGTTTGGTGCAGTCTACTCACTTAGTCTTCCGTCTCTGGTTCCATCTCCTGATGTTCCAGCCATACTCAAGAGCGTTCACCGTTGTCTATCAATGGGTGGTACATTTCATTTGACGCTCATCGACCCGTTACCTTCTACTACAACGTTGGGGCCCCGGCTTCGAGCGTGGCTCGACGAGCATCTTCTTTTCAATCTTGAGCGCAACTTTCGTTGTATGAATCCGAGCAAGCTATTCCCCATCTGGTTGGCAGATGCTTCGCTTCGTGCTGAGGGCAGTACCATCACCACGGTGAAGTTCCTCGCCGTTGCGTCGACCGACCCTGAAAGGGTTGAGGCTGAGGGGCTGAGACGGTCTGAAAGGTCTGTCAAGCAAGAGCTACGTAGCCTCGTGGGACGGCTGTTGTGGATGGACGTTTGGGGTAATTACATCGCGGCGGATGGCTGGTGGTGGGATGACCCTGCGATTGTGCAAGAGTGCCAGCAGATGCGGACCTCCTGGGAATACTGTGTGATCGAGGCTGTCAAGGATGTGTAGTTGTGGTTGACTGCTGATCGTATTTGACCCAACCACGCAATCGTTGGGTCACAAGAGGGATTTGTAATTGTTGCGTGGGTCGAGCCCATATACACATGTGAAGGATACTGAAGGCCGCAACGCGGTCTGGTGCTCACATCCCGGCCTGACGCGGTAGCGGCGGTAGCGGCTGATGTTACCGTACCTGAGCGCTGGGACTTATCAGATCCCTCCATGGCCCGCAACAACCATGTTTTATGTCTAATAGCTAAACTATGATCAAAATGTCAAACTTGCTGAAGTGCGATTACAATGGCAGTTCTAATCTAGACCGCCACAGTCCCCAAGCCATAGTGGAGTCAGCGGCACCCCTGATTCTTGTGACATGTCAAAAATGCTCTGGATTTCACGGTGAGTACAGCCGTCTAACCCGAGCAGCTCTTGCCATGTGTCGAGACGGATACTCCGGGTCGAGGGCCTCTCTGAGTGTGGCATATCCCCCCATTCTGTGCCCGGGGATTCTTCACGCCAAAGCACTCCTTATCTACGTCTTCACTGCCTTTTGACCCCGTACAGGGAGGGACCAAGGCACAATATGATGGCTTCCCGCCGCGCCACGCCTCTGCCGAAATCCCGAAGCCTTAACATTTCCTGTTTCGACATCAACCAACGGCTCGCATCTGACATGAGGCACGATGCGCGGCATTGAAATAGCCGTTCAAGAGCCCGCGAGGATACGCAGACGATCATGAGCCAGTCAGCACACGCAAAGTAACCTCAGAAACAAGTGGCACCTTTGACAGGTGGAGTCGCGGGGTAGCAGTTGCCTATCCGCGCTTTGACCCTCCCGCCCCCTTCGTCGCCTGAGTCGTGAGAGTTTGGGTCCGTGGACGCGACAGTGTGATGGGGATTGCATTGGCGCGTAGGGGATGAGTTCCGGTTGCTTTGTGAGACCTGTCGATCAGGGGTGCCGGAAATCGGTCAAAGTAGGCCGGCGGTTGTTATCTGGATTATTACCGAAATCCTCTCGTCCGCTGTCACAGGGCCTTGAATACTGATTTCACACACACACACACACACACACACACACAAAATCGGCAACGCCTCTTGACTGCCACAGAGGAAGGAAGCGTTCGAAAGCTCCGATGCAGAAGCAAGCATGGCCCACTCTGGGGCAAGGGGTCGTCAGCCATGTCATCTCCTCAGGCACGTCAGCCGTCATTTGATCACAATCGCCGAGGCGCAGACGGCCAGGCCTCGTTGAAACAAAGAAAAATGACCGATTTACTCCGATTGTGATTTTACAAGGCTTTCGTCCCCTGTTGCCCACCGTACTGACGTCAATAACGGGTATATGCCAACGCCGCAACCTTTAGAACCCAGTGATTGAATTTATGCCTCCCATCATCGTGTGTCTCCTTCCGTTCGCTCATACTCTCGACATCCGTTGGTTTTCGCTCGACTCTGGCCTGCTCGGCTCGCTGTGCGCCAATTCCGTCATACTTTCCGTCTCATAATTCATCTTGGCTCCACGATCCCGACCACCCAGCTTGAACTGCTCGCCGCGGACGAAGCCGTTGCTGCTCGTCCTGTTGCTCCGACGGCCTAGGCTCCGCACGTCTTCCCAGAAGAGCTGGCACGCCTTCCACGATGTGACCATGTAGATCAGCGCGTTCCAAAATCCCTGCAGCGGCAGGACAAAGGCACTCATGTACTCAAGCACTGTCGACGACCGGTGGCCGTGAACGACCGAGTAGACACGGTTCGCGCTTGAGGGAATCCAGGTGATAAGGAGCGCTGTAAAGAACAGAATGGCGCACTTGGCATACGTCCACGCTGCATTGTTCTTTTCGTATGTGCGGCGGCGCGCATTGGGTGCTGCTGTCACCGGGCGGGCGGCGCCTTCGGAGTTGCTCTGGACGGGCAGCACAATGTCGCCTTGGCTGTCGCGCGGATGAGGACCGTTGGCCGTGATGCTGACCGAGTAGGCATCCGTGTTGGGCATTCGCGGTGCCGTAGCTCCAAGGGCCGAATCCCGTCGCTCCATAGGCACCAACCCAATAGCCCCTTGAGGTTGCTCGACAATGACTTCGTGCGTGATGCGTACTTCAGTTGTCTTCATCGACGCGAACATTTCGTTAAAGTTGGCGAGGCCTTCGGCGTCGTGAGAGCTGAAATCCTGAAGTTGTTTACGCTTGCGGTAAATATCGCCTCCAGTGCGGATGTAGATGAAGAACGTGATAAGGATGACCAGCCTGTAAGTTATGTTAGATAGGTGTCACGTTGCCGAACAGTGAGTGAGGGTGACCAACCACACAGGGCCGTAGAACGTCAAGATGCGCCAAATTTCCCACTGCCTGGTGACCCAGCACCACAGCGTTGCGTTACCATAAACCCTGTCGCCGTTGTTGTTCCTGACGAAGATGTAGGTCATGGCTGGGATTAATGGAATGCCATAGCAACAAATCATGTAGGGGATTTCCATCCGCCGCAGCCTTTCGGCGTCAAACTTGTAGTAGAAAGTAAGATACACGTTAACGGCCATGGCCAGTGTCCAGAAAGCATCTGCGGGCATGAACCTAGTTTCAATTAGAACCACAAACAAAATATACGAAGGAAAGGCAAAGAACTGACATCTGAATGAGGAATGCTTGCAGTTGACAACCAGGTGAATCGGGCGACCCGATATATGACCTGGCCATCAGCGTGCCGATGTTGGTAATGCCATTGCCAAAGGAGGCATAGAATACCAGTCGGTTGATGGGTTTGTGAAATGCTTTGGAGCAGCAAAAGGTGATAATGATGAATAGACATCCCAAGAGAGAAAGGATGGAGCAGACACGCTCGACAATGCTGAGAGCATCCAGCGTCTCTTCGCCCAAGTTAACCTTCCTCGCAGTGTTCATTGTGGCTGTTGGTGAATGCTCGAACGCATGTGATCGAGAGAAGAAACGCGATGACTAGCCAGGGGAATGCAGGTAGCTAGTCGGCGCCACGGTTTCTGCTCGAATACGGACGAATTCTAAGCTGGCTTCCCCCCAAGTTGTGCACTGGCCGAGCCTCCGGGGTGAGCTGGCTGATATACCAAAGCTGACAGGCCCGTGAGCCAGCTTGTGGAAAGAGCGAGGGTGTGACTGGGCGATCGGACCTCGTAAGCGTCCAGGCGTCGTTAGGTTGGTGAAGCGGATCCCCGAGTAAAGTTGCGGGTATGGCTGCTGATCACTCACAGACGGGAAGATCAGTTGCTCGATCAATCAAAATAAATTCTGGTCGGGATGGACAGGTCTCATCGCGTGCGTGGATGGACTTGGACAAACATAGAAAGGTAGGCCCAGACGATCGAGAAAAGATGACCCGCGCGCAGATATAATGGAATGATCCGGCAACGGAACAGGACAGGACACACGAATCAAGTCGACTCGGCCATCAGGACGAACTACGCCTGGGCAGGAGGATAATACGACATGAGCCCTCCTTTCTTGGCCTGGCCCATGCGTCAACATTAGGGGAGCATTGCTGGTGGTGTCCGGGGTACCAGAGTCGAGGAAGGAAACTGGGGTGAGGGGTTCGGTTTGTCTGGGTAGAGGAGCGATCCTGCCGTTGTCCTGCGAGGACTAGGGTCATTCGAACGTCCGTTTGGGACTTATCCGTCCTGGGGCAACGCATGGCACAGCATGGGATGCACATGTATGTGGCTGGCAGGGTTCAAGCTCCGTTCCACCGAGGGTTGCTATTGTCCCGGGAGAGTACAGCCACGAACCATTGCCACAGACATGGAAGTGGAATATGCCAAGGAACGAACCGCAACAGACTGCTTTATGTGATGCCTCGTGTGGAAGACCAGCCCTCCTAGCCACGAAATCGTCAGGATGGTGGGATTCGCTGGGTTGAGTTGGTGTGGGGTCGCAGGCACGAGATAATGACCCTTTGCATCTTGTACCAGTGATTGCACGATGAAATGTTCTCTGGGTAAGCATCTCTGAACAGCCATGGTGGGTAACCCACCGCTGATCTCCTGAAAGAATTGGCCTAGTGCCTACCGCTGATCGTAGAGGACATGGTGGACAGAAGAAATCGCGACTCGAGCGAGGAGGATGCCTGCCTAGTGTCGCTGGTTTCTTCAGCGCACGAGCAGGGGCGTAACACCCCCGTCAAGCCACGCAACATGGTGCCAGTCATGTGCAATGACCAGCCAACTGCTTGGTTGGTACGGCCACTCCGTGTTGCTCTCGGATTCCTCATTTAGAGTTGGTCATGGTGCTTCAGGTTAATATCTGAAGTGCAGTGAGGAAGACGCAACCAAGGAAAAATGCCGTGTGCGCCGATGCCCCCAGACTGAAGCCGCGTCGAATCCACGAAGAGGGAAAACCACCGCTCGGTCGCTCTCAACGAGCTTGAAGCCAAGCGTGAGTCGGGAGTGTGAATGAGTCCCCGGAAGCGGTGAAAAGAATGCGACACGAATGACAAATTGGGCTACCCGTGTAATAGATACGGCAGGCAGCGAGCGAGTTGTTGTCGTGACCAAGGGAAAACTGCGAGGAGATTTTCATTGTGTATTGTGTCTAGGCGGACACTTGACCACTTCAGACGACCTCGCCATCACGCAAGTCCAGACCTCAGACGGAGGACGGTCCTGAAAGGGGGGTCGGGGCCAGACTTGGGTTGCTTCGTCCACGTGGAGGACGCCACGGCATGGCTAGTGGTTGTGCCGGGTTGTTTGAGATGGCCGGAATGGTGTCGCTGATGCAGCTATCTTGCTTGGGCCTTCGCTTGCGTCGTCTGATTGCTTGACGAGTGGCTGGCTGTGATGCGACTGTGTTTTTGGGAATCGAGCCAGCCATTGGCCGCGTTGGGGAGGACGCCGAAGGGTTTTCGCCTTGCCAGAATCGTTCTTCTGCTCGACCTTGTGTGCAAGGAAGAGGATCCATGCGTACTCGCTAACCATGGGTGAACGTTGATTAAAAGTCGCCTAGGCCGAACGCCACAGGCGGCGCAGGCGGCGATGGGACGGGACGAGTTCGTCGAGGCACCAACAGACAGACCCATCTACATACACCCTTTTGCCGTGAACTGAGTCCGAGTTGCCGTCCCGGGCCCCAGTGGGTTGCACGTCGAGACGCTATCACTTTTGGCCTCCAGGGCTCGGCTCGTCAGTGTTTCTGAGCTGGAGAGGGTGTGGTGCCCAACCAGAAATCTACCTGGTCAAGGGCGGAAGCAGGCTGATGTGGTAGACGGGGATGACTGGGAGCAGGGAAGATGCTGCGGGGTCCAAGGTTGTGCCTGGCAATTGGGAGGTCTGGGCATGGAGCTGAGTCTGGGCAAGCTGGGGAAAGTGGAGGTGTGGCCAGCCCTCAGTCCCTTCCTACCAGGTACTTTTGGTAGGTCCTCTCCCGACAATTGTGGAGGCGATCGAGGAGAGTGCCCTGCATTGGTACATTTCCACCTGCACCTGCCCTCGACATAGTGGGTACGTACCTGATCGAATCACGACGGCAGGTTCTGTCGTCAGCAGCTAACGACCAGCGACTGCCTCCTTTCCCTTGCCGTACCTGCATCTTCGAGGGCCAGAATCCTGTGCTCATTTCTTCGATCCCCAAGCTCCAAAATATGACGGGACACCCCCTTTTCCCAGCCCACCATTGATCACTACCGGGCTTTTATCTCAGGTACGCGACGAGATTCCCGATCTTCCTTACAGTAATTTGTGATGTTTGCTCGGAAAACCCCCTCCCCACTCACACGACACTACAATCTAGCCTGGACTTCGGTTCAGGACACGATCTGGCAGGCAGTACCTAAGTCTCTCGTGAGTCGTCAAGGCGAGGACGATGCTCACCCGATTTGTGGCCATCAGAGCATAATGCTGAACCGGCCCTGCTGTATCCCAGCCTACGCAAGCGGGTGGTCGCCGTGCCGTCCGACGTGGAGACTCAGATCCTGCGTGTCACAACTGAGCCTTCAGATCGCGAGTCACGTCAATCAGAAGCACGACAGGTGCTGTGACAATGTAGCTCGCCATTGATCATCGGAGGGGTATGCATGCGCGGCGACCAATGCCAGATGTAGCGTTCCTTTGCCTGCCAAGACAGCTCATCGCTTGCCAACCTCATTCAAGCTGCTCTAGGTACGACAAGGATTCTGCCTGTGCGCTTCCTGTATTGTCAGGGTTCATTTAGCCTTTGGCAAAAGCCTCTCCTTCCCCCTTCTCGGCCTGCCAAACTAGGCTGGACCGACTATTCAGCAAGCCACAATGCTGGTTGACGAAGAGCTAGCCCTGTGGACATGGTCGACGGCATGGTATGCGGGCATAATATCACGAAGCAGGCTAGCCCGGTGACCTCGACGCATGCCGGGTTTTCACGTGGCAATCATCTGTTCACAGCCCTTGCTAATTCAGGCCATGCGGTCGTTTCGAAGGCAATTGTCAACCAACAGGCAGACAACAGAACCCCGTGTCGGAGAGCTATCATGACTGGCAGTCGTTCGTCCAATGATTTCCCGATGACATGGGCCGCTGCCTCGTTTACTCGAGGTTTGTTAAGCCATGTTGATACACAGCTTCTGCGGAAGCACTGTTCGCAATCCAGCCACCGGCTGTCCTTTCTAGTCTCTAATCTGGTGCAAGCCCATCACAAGTAAATCTTAGCTGGCCACTATCAGGCTAAGTGATTCGGCTGAAGCCACCTCCGGTCTATTCACTGGACTACCTCCCAATTACGTCGTTTCTCGGGGAGAGGTTCTGTAGTGATGATATTCTCGTCACCCTCCAGTTGACTTGTTGGTCTCCTCTGGTAGCTTTGATGGTTCCGTCGAAGACATTAGAATGGTGTTGATGTTGTCAAACAACGTCACAATAAAATCAGGTGTCAATTCTAGCTCTATCTAAATGTAGACGGCCTTACCCATACTTTGCTGCGTGAAACAAGTCAACAGATTGTGTCTCGTGCCAACAGTGGAACGCTATTGTTGGCCTCCCATGCGATGCGATGCGCCGAGAACTATGTCTCTTAGCAAACCATCTCAGTTGATAAGATGCTCTCTTTCATTCACAAATATGAGACAAATGGGTCACTACCTCACAACTCCCGACTTAGTGGGTAGATATTCTGAAAGCATCGACCCATGGAGAGCCTTGTTCTTTGTCTACGCTTGATTGTCTATTTACCAGTAGACACAGCTCGCGAGAAGCCTCATGACACTTTCGACCCCATCTTCTACTTCTTAAGCTTTGAGCCAAGTTCGATACGACGCACAAAGTGAGAACTTGGTCTATTAAGGAGCCACGGTCGCAAAGATGGGCCGCCCGCGCTTTTTTCCGAGGTTGGAGAGTAATTGTATCAGGGCTGAATACCAAGCTCCCCGGATTCAACCCGAAAAGACGGCCATCAGACAGTCACACTTTCCGTCCAGCGATGTCTCCACGATCAGGCTTAACCAGACATGGGCCTAACAAAACCTTGGCTCCAGGTCAACCAACAGGCAGACAGCAGAACCACGAGACGACCCCAGAACAATACAAATCGGGCCAGAACCAGCATCGTCTCGAAAGGAGATGGAATGAAGGAAGATTCACATACAAGCGTGGATCGGGCCAGACCCGCCCGAACCGCAACCGGCGCCCAGCCTCGTCTAGGTTGGATGCCCGTGCTCTCAACCGCGTCTGCTCGGACGGCGACATGCCCATGCTGGCCGTGGCTCCAAGCCCTCCACCGTCAGACCAACCATCGCAGGATTCTTTGCCCGACGCGAGACCCCGGCGAGGCCACGAGCAACGACAAGAACGCCGAGGTGGCCGCGAGGGGAGACACAGTCGTGGTGGCCACCCGCGAGAGACCCGGCCGAAACGTTCCCCAATCGATCTCCACGCCCACGCCAAGTTTGACGGCGAACGAGCACACGTCCACCGGCGAAACCTTCAGTTGAAACACGATCTGAACAGGCTCGTCCAGCAGGCGCGGTGGACTATCGATGACTGGGCTAAGGATGTAGATGCGCATGAGGGGCAGCCAGAGCCGATGGACTGGCAACCCGAACCGCTGATACTGGTGAGGATATGCGAGGGGCCGGGTCTCGGACTTGGGCTTGGGACGGGGAGCTGGGAGAGAGGCGCATGGCAGCAGAACCCCACCGATTCTTGTCCCAGGAGAAGCATGAGCTGGAGATTTGGGGTTGAGCTCCTGGATGACATATCCTGACACGGAGATACGTCGTCTCATGAAGGATTTGGGACGCTCGAGCTGTCAGTGGACTCGTCTTGACCAGCTAGGTAGCGGCTGGGGAGACTACATGTTGCCGAAATGGTCTGATGTCCAGGCCTGCGAATCAGCAAGTTTTGCCGGGCCGCGTTACCATCAGAAAGACGCGTGCTGTCGAGAGTTGTATACCAGTTGCTCATCGGTCGTGGAAGCGCTTGTCCAAGAGCACTCCCATTTCCATCGAACGTTCACTCCAAGTAGACAGAAGCTACGCATCATATGCTAAACGTCTTGAATTCGGCTGAAAATTTAGCTGAACGAGACAATCCTGAAACCTTACAACGCCTGCCCTTTGGTGAAGCCCAACCGACCCAAGTAACCGAGAACGCAAGAAAGCCGAACATCGTGGGAATCTCGCATGTCATGTACAAGTCAACAGCTCGCCCGCACGCAACCCTGCGCATCACACACTACACCAGCTTATTTTCCGTAACGGTTGTACTCAGCAGCGACCAGGCAATGGTCACGCTCGAAGGGCTCTGCATAAGATTGTTAGTCACACGCATATCAATCGAAGAAACGGGAAGTGGATCGTACCAAGTGTCAGCTGCTCCTTGGGGGTGATGCGCTCCGCACGGAGCTTCTCGACCTCCTGAGCAAAGACCTTGGCGGGAGGGGCCGTGGAGTCGATACAGTTGGCCTTGATGGAGATGAGGATACCACCGCCAACCTTGAGGAAGTGGTGAGCGTTCATGGCGACGATACGGGCCTGGTCGGGCTGGGCCACATCGGCGAAGATGCAGTCGACCATGGGCATGATCATGCGGTACTTGAGGGGCTGACGGGCGTCCTCAACAATGGGAACGACGTTGGTGCGCTTGGAAGCCATGCCGATCAGGTCGCGACCAGAGCGGGGAGAGAACTCGACGGCGTAGACGAAACCGGTAGGGCCGACAATGTCGGCAACGTGGGAGACGGAAGTACCAGAGGCACCACCAAGGTAGAGGACCTTGGAGCCGGGGCCGAAGTACATCCTGTCGAGACCACCGATGACACCGGCAGCCAGCTTCGAACGGAAGGGGTTCCACACGCGGTACTCGATCTTGGTGTTGGTGGTGGTGCCGTCCTCGTTGGTGACGGGGTTGTCGACGGAGACACGCTTCTCGCCGTAGACAGACTCGCCGGGAGTCAGGTTGCGAGTCGCAATGGCGTCCTCCTTGCCGCGGACAACGAAGATACCCTCATGGCGATGGGGCTCCTAATTCTCTGGTCAGTAGAGCACAAACGGGTCCAATCCACGGGCTCAACTTACAACAATGACCTTTTGGCCTCCCTTCTGGCCGCCAGCAGCGCCGCCACGGCCACCCCTCGGCTTGCCAACACCACCACGGCCGCGGGCACCACCACGGGCACCACCACGACCGCCACGGTCACCGAAGCCGCCGCGGCCACCGCCGCGACCACCGCCGCGACCACCACGATCACCAAAACCACCGCGACCGCCACCGCGGCCACCACGGTCACCACCGAAACCGCCACGGCCACCGCCACCGCCTCGGAAAGGAGCCATCTCTGTTGTAGGTATGGTAAGATGAAACAAAGCTTCAAGTAGATGTCGTTATCTCGACACCTCTGGGTTCGTCCGAGTGAATTGAGTGGGAGAGGACGAAGGTGGTGGATCTTGTCGTACTGCGGACAGACTGCTGCAGATAACAAACCGGCGGGTGAAATTTTTCTCTAGACTTTTTTCTTGTCGAAGCTGCAAAGAGGTCGAGAGCTCGGACCAAGCTCCATGCAGAATCCGACTTTGGTGGGCCAGCGAGATGATTGGCCTGCTCGGCACTGCGATTTTCCATGTCCGTGATAAGATAAGCCTTCCCGCACAAACAGGAAGTGGGGCACAAAATCAATTTTCACTGGCCCCATGCCGGAAAGATGTGAGACCCTTTCCTCTCACGCACCCCAAAAACTCATAGGGTAGAGCCCTACAGTCAAAGTTGCACCCTTCCTGATTCGGTAAGCGAACCAACCAGCCCCGGCAGAGCAGAGCAGAGCAGGTCCCTCAAGCAACTTTTGAAATCTTCCTAACCTCAACGCCCAGTCCACCAAACCGAACCGTCGACGACCATCACCTCACCCAGCAATCACGATGGTGAGTGCCCTTCCAAGCCCCGGACCGACCATCGACTCGCAGCCGTCAAAGATTCTACATTTCCGGAAGGCCTCGCGTGCCTGCTTCAATTCAGGACCGCGGGGTCAAGGATATGGGAAGATTTTCGACTGGCAGACATGACGCGCTGGGAAGCGAACGAGAAACCACAACTGGCAGAGATATGGAGGGACTGACACGGTTGCAACATAGGTTCGATACGCCGCCACCGAGATCGCGCCCGCGAAGTCGGCCCGCGCCCGCGGTGCCTACCTCCGTGTGTCCTTCAAGAACACCCGCGAGACCGCCCAGGCCATCAACGGCTGGAAGCTGGAGCGTGCCCTGACCTTCCTCGAGAACGTCAGGACGAAGACTGAGGCTGTCCCCATGCGCCGCTACGCCGGCTCTACCGGCCGCACCGCCCAGGGTACGTTGATACGATTTTTTTGACCCGCTTGCCATGGACGCATATGCAAGATTGTGGTTCTGCTGGGGTCGCGGAAGAGCCCACCAGCAGAACCCATCTGCAACATGAGCCAACGAGCAAACGGGGGTCACCTCGCCGCACTGAATGCCAATCGCTAACCCACTCCCAGGCAAGCAGTTCGGTGTCTCCAAGGCCCGCTGGCCCGTCAAGTCTGCCGACTTCCTCCTCGGCCTTCTCCGCAACGCTCAGTCCAACGCCGACGCCAAGGGCCTCGACACCGGCAACCTCGTCGTCAAGCACATCCAGGTCAACCAGGCCCCCAAGCAGCGCAGGCGCACGTACCGTGCCCACGGCCGCGTATGTTCCACCCCTCCCCCGTCACTCGTGCACCCACAGAGTCGGCGAAAACTAACAGGCGCGTCTAGATCAACCCCTACATGTCCAACCCCTGCCACATCGAGCTCATCCTCACCGAGGGCGAGGAGGTCGTTCAGAAGTCCGAGGCCGTCGTCGGCCGTGAGCACCTCTCCTCCAGGCAGCGTGGTGTCCGCGCCCGCAAGGCCATCACCTCCGCCTAAGCGACATGATCTCTCCCCCAAACGCATCATTTCTCTTGAGGGCCCCCTGGTGATTTTCTGCCCGGTCGGGTTTTAGACAAAGCGAGAGGCAGGAGGGCCAGGTTCGAGGCAAGCGGAACAACAGGGCGGGCGTCGGTCGGGCGGGAAACGAAATTGCGAATAATGCATATGGCCTCCACCCTTATGCGTTGCGGCTTTCTTTCTCGTTCATTTGCTATGGTGTAACTGGGAAAGGCTATGGTGATTCATGGCATTTTAGGGATTGGCATGCGACAGACAAAAAATGCTCGTGTTCCGAGAGGGCTCTCCGAAATACACTGAAAGGCAAATGAATCATGACCTGCTGGCTTGCTCCTGTGAAGTGACGTGCCCCGTTCCCTGGTGCCGCCGAATTCTTTCACAGGCATTGTGGTCACGCTGTGTAGGCCTGCTTTCTTTCTAATTGCCTGTATGGAATTCCAATTGCCAAGAGACAGTCAGATGACAGCAATACTCATTCTCATGGACGACTACATCACCTCCGCGGCCGCATACTTCCTTGGAAAGCCAGACCTGATCTTAGCGTCCAAGTCTGTTCAACTAGAGCACGCTGTAATCACCACCAACTTGCACACGGTATGGCTTGCAGGAGATCATCGTGGCAGGCACCACGGTCCGTAAACATGCATTCTCCAATACATGGAAACAATGGCAGAGAATGATGTAAATGAGACCTCCCTAAGTCGGTAGATACGTATCAGTCCCACGCCTCAATCAAGCCGAAGAGAGATAGAGCAAAACTGGCAGTTGCCTTGGCCATGTAGGCCCCCAAGCTCCGTCCCCTCATAATTCGTCATTCGCCCGTAAGTCATTGAATCCTTCGTGAGAAATCATCCAGGAGTCATGTGCACTCCGAGGCAATCCTTGCCTGTATAAACCATTCTCAAACGCCGTGTTCCTCTGAGATTCCCATGGCCAGAACCCCGCCCAGCCCTTTTCGTATTATACAGCCTACGAGTCTCTCGATTCTGTGTCTCCTCATCAAATCAAAATCCAGTTCCTCGTATTCAGCTCTCGCCAAAGTCGAGTCCGTCTCGTCTCATGCGACAGAGATTGGCGGCGCCAGGGCCGAGCGAATCATGGCCATCTGTATTCTTGACCGTATCGTCATCCAGGTTGTAGAACGAGCGAGAAGAGTCATGTTCCGTAAAAGACCACCTTTGACGGTGGCGGTATGTTGCCTTCGTTCGGAACGCTGCTACAGCCCCGTGGGAGGCGGAGGCCTGGGTCCTGTGACAAAGCCGCTGAAACGACCACGGCCTGGTTCTAGGACGCCATCCATCTGCGCGTCTCTGATCTTTCTGGTATCGTACACGCCGGCCCATCCCTGCGTCATATTCCAAGTGGTTCCGAAGTGAAGTTCGTCATCCTCAGGCAGCATGTGAACAATCTTGGCAATGCCATGGTCGCCGCAGACCTGCATGAAGTTCTCGAGTTCCTTTTTCCGCATGGCGACGTCATGATCGGCCCACGGTTCTTCGCTATCGATTGGGGTGATGGTGTTGACCTCGACGTGTCGAGCGTAACCGCACGACTTGAAGGATATGCTCTTCAGCTTGTAGAGACCACTCTTGCGCTCTCTTCTGAAAGAGCGCCCTTCAGGTAACCAAAGACGAAGCATCGGCCCAGATACCTTGGGTCGTCCGGCTGCAGGCTGGCCCGCTGCCATGCCCTCCACCGTCATCCCCGGCGTGAAGTGGTTGATGAACCCTGCCCAGGACATCTGGCTTGGGAGGTGGGAGCCGCTGCTTGAGCTTACAAAGATTGCATCGTCATCTGAGTCGCTCTCATCGACCTGAATTGGGGTTGGAATAGCCACCTGGTTGGCGGCAGCGGCGGCGGCGGCGGCGGCTACCGCGACGGATCCGAATACAACGGCTGGTTGGAAAGCAGGCTGCGTACCATCCATCGCCATTGTCGGCACTGGTGTCAACCGTAGAGGGCCAGTCAAAGACACACTCTCAAATTCAAGAGACTCAAGAGAGTTTAGAGCCATGGTACGAATGACCTGGTTCAAAACGTGCGGAGTGGCGTAGCAATTCTTGAGCGAGAAATGTCGGATGTACGGCAAAGCAAGTATCGGACCACTGATGGCTGTGTGGGGTTCGAACATGGCGGTAGGATAGCAGAAAGGCGCGGGAAGGACATAATTATTCCGCTGGTAGACGCCAGGTGCGAACTCACCACCGCAGATCCACTCAAAGTGGAAGAAGGTAATGTTTCGTCGGTGAGAAATGTATTCGGAAAGTAGTACGAACACCCAGTTGACAGCTACGAGAGGCGAGATGGTCGTCTCCTGAACCGAATGTTCTGGAGAAGCCTTAGACACGGCACGCCAGTCGGGGACGACGGCGAGCGTCAGGTTCCGCAGGGTGGGCAGACTATCCCAAAGATCGTGCCTCTGGAACATGTTGATGTGGCTGCTGGGGATTTTGGCAATGGTCAAAGACGTCAGCGAACTGAACCGGGAGGCACGCGAGTGATCGAGAATGGCGATCACGTAGGACTGGATCAGGGCTCGATGAGCCCAGTCCATCTCGAGGATCATCTCAAGCTGGCCCCTCGTCAATTCCTTGGGTTGCAACGGATACGTGGCGGGCGGGTTGCCCCAACGTTGTTGGAGGATAGTGAGCCTGCGCACGTTGTTGTCTGGGTTGGGCGCAGGTATTGTCACCTCTGGGAATGGATCTTGGGCCGTGGGCGTGGCGGTCGTCGGCGCCGGGGCTGGCGGAGGTGCGGCCCTCTCATCGAATTCAATTCCAGACAGTGTGGCACCTTCTGTATTCAGCAGAGTCTCAATAGCATCCGGGGTTTGTGCTTCGGTGAAACCGGCTCGTCTGACCATGGACTCAAGCACGCTAAGCTTGGTATCTCGGGGGCCTTGAACAGCGGTTCTCCTCGGCCGTTGCTCCGGCAGCTGAAGCGATCCATAGGACACGTTACGCAGGCCAAAGACGGGATGTGGTGGAGGGAGTATGCGGGTGTCCCGGTCTGGTCCACAAAGGTAGCCCAGGCCAGCGTCGCAGCTCAGGCCAAGATCCTTGACCTGGGTAAGACTGGTCAGTGCCTCCTTCAGACGCAGAGTCTCGTCTGCCGTGTCTTCGAGGTTTTCGATCTCGGCGTAGCGCGCATACGAGTTGACAGGCCAGCGGTAGATGCCCCAGTAGGTGGGTACGGCCTGCTGAAGAGTCTTGACGGGGGGGTAGGCCAGGTGGTCCTCGCTGATCTCGAGGGAGAGGGCGAAGCGGACAATGTGGTGACCAAAGGACTGGAAGATGCGCATTCCGTTGGATAGAATGCTGTCGGCGTGTGAGAGCGTCTGCGCCGTGACTGCTTGGTGGTCGCCGTCTCTTGCCTCGTTGCTCTGGGCCGTGTACAGCTCTGCGTTGAAAGGAACAACGACGTTGCGAAAGTACTGAGAGGCAAGCTTGAGCTCAAATTCCTTGTTGACAGCCCGCAGATTCTCGACGTCAGACCTCGAGAGGAAGGAGGTTATCTCGATAAAGAGTTCCATGGGGATGACGTTGGCAGGCCATGTGAGCGGCTGACGGCCGCCGGCGAGGTGGTTTTGGGAGTCTTCTGGGGGCCCTCTACGTAATTTGTGCAGGAAGGCGGACCTGGCAGGTCGGCGGCCTGAGGATCGCCATGATCGATGGCCCGGCATCGTATGAAACCCACCGAAGACCGGACTTCTTGTGAGTCGGTGGTGCCGGTCCAGTTATCGAGAACTGGAAGGGCTGGTCGTTGATGGAAGGCGAAACGCAAGTGACCGAAAGACGTGAGGTAAGGTAGGTAGGTACCTAGGCAAGGTAAGGTAAGAAGGTAGGAAAGTGGGTTCAGGCCGCAGTGTCGTCAATCCAACGTTTTCATGGAGCACATCGGACCCCCATAATGGGAAATCGTCATGGTTTTATTGCAGCATGGAGTTTGTCTGTACGCAATTGAGACACAGGGCCTGCGATGGGCTCGGCGACAAGGTTTACTCAAGGAAAGTGAACGCACTTGTTAATGCCGACACAGTCTGTTCCTCTGCAGCGGCAGAGTTCAGGCACCCCCCTCCCCCCCCCACCCAATTTTCTTATCGTTATCGTCATGCTGCCGTTCATTGGCGGTTGGGATCAGCGTCTGGACCAGCCAAGTGGAGGGGCGGCATGTCGTCAGCGGGGTGCATTGGCTGCGACGATCTCCAGAGAAAGTCAAATGGCGCCCAGCCGATGCTGTTACCATTGAAAGTTTCCATCAACACCACGACCGTGCCAGCCACGGTGTGTTTATGCTCTTTCGGAGAATACCATCGGGAAAATTATCCGAGTGTGTCACAAATGAAAAGGTAAATAAATATGAAAAGCTCAGGAATCGACGGTTCAAGACATCGCAAAAAGGAGCCACTCAATACGCGCCAACATAGCTAAGTTGGCAATTATAAGAGCACTCTACCTGACATCGGAAGATGCACCTGCCACTGGAGAACTTGGAATGAAAGTTTCCGGGCTGGGTGCGAAAACTCGAGGGAACACAAACAAACCGCCCAACAAGCAAAATACGCCTACTGCTCCCACCTGACGCCTAGTCCTCGTCCTCATCCTGCGTGTCCGGCGCGGGTCCTGCGTAGAACCAGTACCTACAGACGCGCGTTAGCTTTCTGCGACGTGCACAGCCATGGAATGGGAGGGCAGAAGGGGGAAGAAACTTACGCAGCAGCATACTGCACCTGGAAACTCTCAGGCTGCCCGGCGCACGAGCTCGGCGGGCTTCCGCCGGCTGTCGTGAGGCGGTAGATCTCCTGAATGTCTCCCGCTGTCCTGCCGTCCTTGGTGAGGAGCTTCAGCCACGCCACGGCCTTCTCGCCCCTCTGGCCCACAGCCGAAGCAGCAGGCGCTGGCGTCGACGAGTTGAGCCCACAGTAGGTGTCGCCAATTTCGCGGTCGCCTTCGCGGATGTGGAAGTACGGCGTCTTGGCGTCGTAGAAGAAGTGGTCGCCGGCAAAGACGGCGTTGCTGGGTCCGAGACGATGATTGTTGGCGCCGGGGAGGAGCGGCTCGGTCGAGAGGTTGAACTGCATCGAGACCTTGGGGATCAGGGCGAGGAGGTCTGGGTAGGCGACAGCGATGCAGCTGACGTTGAAGAGCGAGGCGACGGCGCCGGCAGCCTGGGGGACGGCCGTTGCGTTGCCGACGTCGCAGGTGTAGTTCTGGGTGCCGCGGCCCACGGCGACGTGCTTGAGGGTCAGGCCCTCGGAAACAGGAGGGAGAGGTTCGGGGGCTGGTGGGCTTTGTTAGTGGGTGGCAGTGGACGGCGCGACAAGCGCTTACCGATGGGCATCCTGGCTTGCGAGAGGTCGCACGAGGGCGCACGCGTGGTGTAGCGGCTTGCCTGGACCTTGGATGCGAGGAGCGTGAAGTACTCGGACATGGCTTCCATGCTGCGGGGCGGGGTGTTGTCGCCTTCGAGCTCCGGGTACCGGGGCGCTGCCAGGACCGTGGCGGCCAATGCCGGCGCAAGAAATGTTGAGACACGCATAGTTGAAGCGTTTTCGGAGGAGATGGAAGGATGTGTTTTTGGGGGGGTTTGTATTCGTAGTTATGGTGACGAAGAGGGCGTCGTCGTTGATGGCGGGTATGGAGAAGCACCTGCCCAGAGCACGAAAGGAAATTTCAAGGAACCAGAGACCGAGAGGAATGAATAGGAAAGAGACGAAATGAAACCAACGGAAGGAAAAAGGTTCCAGCCTCTTGATATGGACACGAGCTGCAGAGTGTTATGGATAACGAAAAGACTCATGATCGCTGCCGTGCAGCAGGGCGCCAACGTCTATTATACCACGTTCCACGTTCCACGACCGACGACCCACGAGGCACGAGGCACGACACGCACGGGAAGGAACCACGATTGACACCTCGACCCGGCGGCAGCGCATCGCCGTGTCACGAGCCAGCCAGAGCGCTTTGCAGGTACCCTACTCTGCAGACGCCCTGACACGAGCAGGGGATCCCATGGCACCGAGGCGAGGGTGGGTTCGACGGGTGGATGATGTTCGTCCGGAGAAGCCAAGACTGACAGCCGCCCGTGCCACAGCGGGTGCGGGTGGTTCCCTGGCCCGGGAGTGGCTGGGCGATCGTCGCCGCATTGGGATGCAAGCGCCCGGGCGGCAACGCTGGTCTAGAGTCTGGAGTCTGGAGTCTGCAAGATGGGAAACCGATCGGGTGCATCTATTCTGGGACATGGCATTTTGTTCTACAGAAAATTGTGGAAGCCGTCCAGTCTGGTGCAGACGAGAGATGCTGTGGCTTGAACCACGGTCGTGGCCCATGAGAACCGAAGGGGTTGATGACAAAAGTTTCCCGTATGGGTTTGGTTTTTTCTCTTCCATGCCAATGACGAGCAAGCAATCCACGAATATCCCACCATGCTCGTCTTGCTTCGTGATGCTCACGAAGCGAGAGGCAGGCAGGCACCAATGACCAAAGCAGGCCGCGTCCACTGCATGATATCTCGAGGCCACAATGTTCACACAGCTGACTCACCACCACACGTTGTAGATGCCCACATCAAGTAAGGTACCTAGGCAAGTAAATAGGTAGCAGTAGCTCAGATCCCTACCGACTTCGCTCGACAGCCCAAGCAAGCCACGCCCTCACTCATGTCAACATGCCCGCCTGCCGAGGAAACACAGAAGAACACCAGGCGTCTATGCTCCCGCCTCCCCGCCTCCCCAAAATAGCCGAAATCCCCTGATGTATCATCGATTGGCCACGAGCGTCCCTCAGCAGAAGCCCACCACCTCCCTCTCCAATTACCGGACGCGGCCATGCAGGACAGTCCCGCTACGCCCCCTCATTGGGCTCAGGGTCTCGACGCGCTTTTGCAGGCCCCGCCTGGTCGCGCAAAATGGCCGGCGGTAAAACAACTACACGGTACCTAGGTAGCTTGCTTTGATATTTCTTTGTTTAAACTTAACTTGTGAAGCGTGACGAACTTACTTGGCCGGATATGCGCTCAATCGGCGGCGCTTCCAAGCATGGACCGCCACTGACTTTTCTGAACCAAAGGGTAGCGAACACGAGTTGAAAGAAGGGAAAGCATGCCCAGCTTGGCAACGATCTCCTGAATCAAGTGCATCGACCGGCCGACCGACACGACATGATACACAGATCATTATCGAGTCGGTGGTTGATCCACCTGATATTACACTGGCTAGATAAGGCTCATTCCCAACTCTCTGCAGTATCCTGGCGGTGCAGGCCTTGTGAGCCACATCATGAATGCGTCTGAGTAGCAATGCCGACTGTGTCACGAGAACCCTAAATCAACCCAGCCGCCGAAAACCTGATTGCAACCTGCCGAGCGCCGCGAAAGGGGGGAAGGGGGGCAGATGATGCCGCACGGCGCTTGGGGATTGTCCCGCCCGCAAGGCCAGACGTGGCGCCGCCATTGTCCGGTCCGCCATGCCTTACTGAGGCCAGTCCTTCTCTCCCGCTATCCCTCCGTCGACGATCCCTCCCACCACCGAGCCGCCCACGGCCGAGTTCGTCATGGCCGTGTAATGGTGGTCCACGTCTGTCATAACCAGCCAGTACATCGATATGAAGACCAATAGGTGAAGCGCCGCGCAATATGATGCGAACAGGTTTCGACTCGTGCGTGTCGCAAGCACCATCCGCGTGATCGTGTACACCATGCGCTCCGGTAGGCTCATCCTCTTGTACGCTCTCGCCGACTCTCGCCCGCGGAACTGTGCAAACGGTGAAATGTTGGACTCGTACGCCTTCTGGTATCTGTCCATGGCCATGCCCGGTGTGCCGGAGCCGCCAATGGGCACCGTCGAGGGGTTAGGGTTTGAGCCAAACGCTGCCGATGACGACGCCGCCGATGGACCAGCGCGGTTGTAGGTCGAGACGTATCGAGTCTTCTCGTACAAGTTCAGATTGTCCTTCTGCAGAGAGGCGATCTCTTGCCGAAGCTGTGACACTGTCCGATGCGTCTCTGAAAGCTCGCCCTCCAATTGGGCGTTCTTCTTCTTGAAACGATCACGTTGCGCCGTGACCATGGGCAGGATGCCTGATCCGCCGCCCATGGGTTCGCCTCCGCCCATGCGGGGATCGATGCCGCTGATGATGGAAGAGGTTGGAGAAATCCTTCCCCCGCCCCTCCTGCCAGGGGCAACCGATGGCGCGTATCTGCTCATGGCCACCGAGGCACCGGATGGGAAGGCATTGGTCGACTCCGACTGAACATCGGCTAGATCGTTCTCCAGCTTCTCGTTGAGATTTTGCGACCTCTCTAGATCGGCGTTGGTTCGAGACAGCTCTTCCTGGAGGTCCTGCAGTTTGGACTGCAGGTCTTGGTGTGAGACGCGTAGAATGGTCAACTCATCGCCAAGCTTCTTGTTGCGCGCCAGCAAGAGCTTCTCGAGAGTATCACTACCTGGCTTGGCGGTAGAGCTGTCTTCGCCACTTGTCTCCGTGACGTCGTCATCTTCTTCCCCTGTTGCAAACTCGATGCTTTTCAAAACCT